TATAGACAAATGCTGGTGTTTTGGGGCATCTTGCCCAATCAGGTTGAAATGCACTTTTTTAAATGTCTCCTTCAAAAATCAGTGTTTTACCTAATGTGGAAACCCTGGGAGCACTCCCACTGAAGTCAGGAGAAAGAAAAGAATGTTCACTATTGCCACTATGATTTCACATTTCATTGGAGCTATTAGCCAATCCAATTAGAGAAAAGAAAAAAATTAATGTTGTAAGAATTGGAGAGGAAGAGAGAAACCATTTCCGTTCACATACAATATAATTGTCTGATATCTTTTTTAAAAAGATTTTATTTATTTGCCAGAGAGAGTAGAGGCAGGGGGAGGAGCAGGCAGAGGGAGAGGGAGAAGCAGACTCCTCACTGAACAGTTTAAAAGTTTAGAATTCAGTTAAACTTGAATTTTATTGTATTATTTAAAAAAGCTTTTATTTATTTATTGGACAAAGAGAGCATAAGCAGGGGGAACAGCAGAGGGAGAGGGAGAAGCAGGGTCCCCACTGAGTAGAGATCCCAGTGTGAGGCTTGATCCCAGGACCCTGAGATCATGACCTGAGCTGAAGGCAGCTGCTTAACCAACTGAGCCATCCAGGCACCCCTAATTGTCTGATATCTGAAAACTCAAGAATCAAATGAAAAATGACTACAAACATTCATCAAAAACGAATGATGTATTTTATGGTGACTAATATAACACAGTAGAAAAAAACAAAAAAAGTTCAATATGTTAACAAGATAGAAAATTAATATATAAAAATACCCTTCATATGTGCCAACAGCTTCCAGTTAGAAGATGGAACAGAAGAGAAGATACCCATTTTAAAAAGCAACCACAAGGTATAAATACTTAGGAGTAAATGTATAAGAAATGCACAAAACCTATGTGAGGAATGCTTTTGAACACTTTGATGTTCATTAGTTAAACCCATTAATCAATCCTGGTCTCACTGAAAACGACCAGACATATGCCTCTTGATGTAATGAAATACAAAGTACACAGTATCAACTATGAAGTTTCCTTACCAGAAAAGTTTGGATGGGAATCTCATCAAGCACTTATAGCTACCTTCCATTTATAAGGAATATAAGTAGGATAACAAGTAAAATGACAACATAGTGAAGCAAACAGATCCAGAACGTGGAATATTCCATAGGGCAATTGGCCAAGTTTCTTTAATCAAAGGCATTGAATGAGAGCAAGAGTACTGCTATAGATTAAAAGAAAATTAATAGATGTAACAATTAAATGCAACATATGGAACTTGTTTAGATCCTGATTCAAACCAACCAATTGTTTAAAAAAAATTTGAAACAGTTGGGGAAATTTGAATATGGCCTGGGTACAATATAACAACAAGAACATTTTCTTAGTTGTGATCATGGTCTTGGGGTTATATGAGAAGATGCCCCTATTTTTAAGAGATGAATAGTAAGCATATGAAAGGAGTGAAATGACGTGATGTCTGGCATTTGCTTTAAAATAATTCCTAGGAGAGAAGCCTGGTTGGCTCAGGGGGTAGAGCATGTGACTCTTGGTCTCAAGGTTGTGAGTTCAAGCCCCAGGGTGGGTATAGAGATTACTTAAAAATGAAATCTTTAAAAATATATTAACAATAATAATAATTCCTGGGAGGTAGACAGAGAGAAAAAAATGGCAAAATCTTGATACTATTTATATTCGTTTTCTAGGGCAGGGATAAAAAATATACCACAACCTGGGTGGCATAAACAACAGAAATTTATTTCTTATACTTCTGGGGGTTAGAAATCCAAGAGCAATGTGTCAACAAGTTTGGTTTCTTCTGGGGCCTCTCTTTTTGGCTTGAAGATGGCTCCCCTCTCACTACATCCTTGCATAGGCTTTCTTCTATGAACACACATCTCTGGTACATGTGGGTACAAACTTCCTTTTCTTATAAGGACACCAGTATGATTGGTTTAGGACCCACCCTAAAGGCCCCTTTCTAACTTCACTATCCCTTTAAAGGGCCTATCTTCAAATACAGTAACATTCTGAGGAACCAGGGGTTAGAGCTTCAATGTATGAATTATGGAAGAATACAATTCATCTCATAACACTATTTAATCTGGATGATGAGTGTATGGGAATTTACTGTACTAAACTCTTTGGTTTTGTGCATATTTGAAAAATGTTTATTTACAACATTCCAGAACAGAAGAACATTAAAGTACAACTGAGCAAATTGACATACACACCCCATGAATGAGAAGACCTGCCATCTGAGACATACCAACTTTCCACAAGTAAATTTATCATTTTAACAAATTTTTAACAAGCTTGTATAGAAAAAATGAGTAAAACAAGAAAAGCCAGGAAAACTCTGTAAATGAAGATCAATGTGGTGTGGAACAGCCTAGCTAGATATCAAAACGTACTCCAGAAGGGCACTTGGCTGGCTCAGTTGGTAGAGTGCGTGACTTTTGGTCTTAGGGTCCGGAGTTTGAGCCCCAAGTTCGTATAGAGATTACCCAAAAATCAATTAATTAATTTAAAAAATTTAAAAAATAAAATAAAAAACAAAACACACTCTAGAGCCTCAAAAATTAAAACAATGTGAAAAACATTAAAACAGTGTGGAATTGGTGCATGAGCAGAAGAGAATAAAAATCTCTAAACAGACCCAAATGCATATGGAAATTTAGTGCATGATAAAGGCATGGGGCGCCTGGGGAGTGCAGTCAGTTAAGCATCTGACTCTCGGTTTCGGCTCAGGTCCTGATCTTAGGGGCTGGAGGTTGAGCCCCATATTGGGTTCTGCACTCAGCACAGAGTCTGCTCCAAATTGTCCCTCCCTCTCCCTCTGCCCCTTCCCCTGTGCTCTCTCTCTCTCTCTCTCTCAAATAAGTAAATAAATCTCTAAAAAATGTATGATAAAAGTAGCTTTTCAAATCAAAGGGTTGGAAACAAACTTTCCAATCAATGACCTCAGGACAATTAGGTATCCATTCAGAAAAAAGGTGAAAGTTGATCCATAAGTCACATCATATATCAAGATAAAACAAAACCATAAAAGTACTAAAAGAAAACCTTGGAGTGAAGAAGACCTTTCTAACTATAACTCAAAAACTAGAGGCCATTTAGAAAATGATAGACAAATTTCATAACACAAAAATAAAAAACTTGCCATGGCAAACAACACACCTACACCATAAGCAAAGTTGAAAGACAAAGGACAAATAGGGGACAATATTGGTAACTCACATCATGGGCAAAGGGCTAGTGTTAAAATAGTTCCTAGAGATTGAAGAGAAAAGGACAATAGCCAATATTTTAAAGAGGGGCTATGGAACTGTGTGAACAGAGAGTTCACACAAAAAGAAATCTAAACAGCCCTTAAGCACCTGAAAAGATGCTCAACTTCTCTCATAAAATGAAAAATTAAAATTCAGACTTCAAACGTCACTGAGAGGGGCTCCTGGGTAGCTCAGTCAGTTGAGTGTCCAACTCATGATCTCAGCTTAGGTCTCGATCTCAGGGTCATGAGTTCAAGCCCCATGTTGGGCTCTACCCTGGGCATGTATAGTATTTAGAAAACAAAACAAAACAAAAAAGAACTGGACTGAGATTCCTTTTCTCACTTATCAACTTGGCAGAAACCCCAAAGTTTGACACCACACTCTGTCGGTGAGCCTGGAAAAAAGAAGCCCTGTCATACACTGTTGGTAGGACTGTGCCCTGCTACAACCCTTGTGCTAGTTTGATAAGTCTCCCATCAGAGATGAGGTAGGTGGCGTCAACAACAGGAATTTACTTTCTCACCGTTCCTGGAGGCTTGAAGTTTGAGATTGAGGGGCCAGCAGGGTTGGTTCCTTCTGAGGCCAGTCTCCTTGGCTTGTAGGCGGCCATCTTCTCTTCCCCATGTCTTACATGATCTTTCCCTTGTACGTGTCTGTGTCTTCATCTTCTCTATTTAGAAGGACACCAGTCCGATTGGATTAGGGCCCAACCTAATGGCATTATTTCAGTTCCATTATTTCTTTATAGACCCTACCTCCAAATACAGCCACACTCCGAGAAACTGGGGGTTAGGACTTCAACACATGAATTTAGGGGGATGCAATTCAACCCATAACAAGTTTATGGAGGAAAACTTTGAAATCACTGTCAAAATTACCAACATGTAACTCTTGGCCAGCCATCTTACTTCCGGTGAGTTATACTACCGCTGTAGCTGCGCACATGTAAGATGACATACGGATGAGGATACTCGTTTCAACCTTGTTTATAATAGCCAAAGGTTGAAAACAACCCACGGCCACCGATGAGAAACTATTTGAATTAACTGTGTTTTACCTCCGCGGTGCAAAATCACAGAGCTGTCAATAGAAATGAGGAAGCTCTCTCCGTGCACGGCTAAAGCAACATACGAAGAAAAGGAAGGCACGAAGCATTGTAATAGCATGCTACCTACATAGGAGAAATACGTTCGGATGTGCTTGTACAGTATTTGCTTAAAGAAACACTGAAGGCTAAATAACTAACAGCAAAAAAACCCTAATAAAATTGGTTACTGATAGGGGTGCGTGGGGAGCCCCCAGAACACGGGGGGCAGAGGGGAAAACGAAGCTTTTCGGTATATTCCCTTTCACATAGTTTTTGTTTCTAGATCATGTAAATTCAAAACAATTAAAATCATTCTACATAAAGCTTCCTAGTTTGGCTATGAGCTTTCTAGTACCCTATGAGACTAAGGTGAGTACCTTATCCCTTGACTTTGGAGAAGAGCTGTTCTCAGTTTATTCAAACTTCACCTCAGGATTTCAGACCGTGCTCTTGTGAAATAAAGAAAATCCCCAAGGGTTGCGAATGCTTTCTCTCTTTTTCTTTTCCTTTGAAGAAAGGAACTAGTTTCAGAGGGCTAGAGAGAGTCCAGTTGGATTTGACGTTGACCAAATAGACGAGATTGCCCAGATGCTATCGATCACCAGTGCAGCACAAACGCCCTGCTGGGATGGGGGGGGCTGGGTGGGGGTGGGGGCCCCCAAGCGCACGGCATCCAGCTGGAGAAAGCCCCTCTTCCTGTCACAGCTCCCACAGCACTCCAAGCCTGCTTGCAGCCCAACGGCCTCGCTGAGAATGCTACATTTAAAAGTACAGTTTTTGGATGATTCCCAGAAGATTTTTGTGGTTGATGTAAGTGGAAATCACATTGCTATTATTCCTTTATTATTCATTCAATAGTGGTCATTTGTGGACAGCCCATTAGCCGGCGATGTTGTGTCTTCTTTAGGACCAAATGGAGGGGGACTGTGGTTTTTAGCTTTGGAAAAAGAAATCTGTGTTTAATATCACAGTGTAGCTTGTGTTTTCCCATTAACCTTTCTTCTAGAACAGGTTCTCCTTCCTCAAGGGACAACAACAGCAAGTTTGGAAGAAATGCTAAATATTTGTAAAAAGACAAAGCAGCAATAACTTATTCGTCTTACCCTGAACGGTATTAGTGTTCACTGAAATAATTTGTGAGTCTCACCCCAGGAACATTTGTGGGGAGAAAAGTATGGTTGTGAGGGAAAGGAGAAGGGGAAGGCTACCCTTCTTTTCTGAAGGAAACCTGGGGGGTTCGGCAGGGGGGTAGAATTATGCAGTCATAATGAGAACTTCAGGAAGTAATGACAAGTATGAAGAGAAAAATAGGATAAGAGACTATTTAGTTTGATTTAGTACTTATAGTTCAGGGTTCTTAATATAATTCCTAGCTACGAGATGATTGCGTACAATTATACCTCATCTCTTCAAGGAAGAACAAATGTATTAAGCACATCATTTGGGGCTTGTCTTCCAGAATCTTAAGATACGTACATTTTGATGTAAGGATTTATGTAGGAGCATTTTGAAATGTTCTGTGATTTTATTGGAACAAAAGATGCTATTTTGCTCTCATATTTATATTAGCTACTAACAAGGAACAAGCAGTTCATGTTCTTTGAAATTCGTACAAAACGCCGCTTGTTTTCTTTTATACACAAACTAACAACGGCTGTTGGGTGTGGGGGTAACCCATTTTTCAAATGAGTATTTCATTTTTATTTGAATCATGTGCTTCGTGGGTGATGACTTCATGGCCGTCTCTTCCTTTCACTTCTATTTGCAAAAGGCATTTCTAGGTCCACGGACCTGAATGATTTGTTTTTGTAGCACATAGCTTCCATTAGAGGGATGAGGCATTTTCTAGTCTTTCTTGGACCTCTATTTAAAGGGTGGAAAATATCTTTTGAGTAGTTTATCCATTTGCAGGCTGGTGGTGTAGGCTCGCCGTGCTCCCGGACCTGAATGAGTGAGCTGGGAATTCAAAAGACATTGCTTTAGGCTAAGTTTTTAATAGAGATTTCAAGCGACTCAAAGAGAAATCTTTGACCAAAAATGACAGAAGAGCTTTCTGAATGTGTAGCTTAAATTCAGATCCAGTTAAATGGGAGCGGGGGGGAGGGCGGGGGACAGAGCACCAGAGCTTTATAAAATTCACCTTCTGGGGAACGGGAACCAGTAACAGCAACTGGAAGCCAGCCTGATTTTGCTTCGAGTCGGTCTGTCTCTTTCCAGCTGCGGCACATTGTGTTCTTGGGAAGATAATGGGAGGGATTTGATACCCAGCAATTCGGGTGTCACAGCATCCGATCCCTTCTGCCCCGGGAAGGCTCCTCTGTAAGTAGCAATCGTGGTGTCACCCAGAGTGGCAAGAGCACTGATGGCAATCCCACGGGCAGCTTCATCCCGAGGGGCGTGGAACCTTAACTTAGCATCCATTCGTCCAACACCATCTTTTCTCCTTAATGATGGGATACTGATGAGGAGGGGGCAGTAATGATGCTAAAGATGATGGTGGTGATGACAGCAACAGCATCGAGTCACGAGTGGCTAACACTTTAAAATAGATAAAGCAATCTTGCATCCATTAGTTCCTTTGACTCTACATTCCACCCTGTGAGGGAGGGTAGGGGAAAAGTTCATCTTCGCCCATTTTTCAAATTAACAGGTAAAGCCTCGGGAGCTGAAGTGACTTTTGCTAGATTCCACCGCAGATAAATGCAGAGTGGGGACTTCCAATGCAGAAGTCTTCTCCACTAGTTCATACACAGTTGTATCCGGAAGACTCATCTGTCATTAGCCTTCTAGTCCTGTATTACTGCTCATGCACACTATTTTCTGTTGCCCTCAAAGGTAATACCTACAGTGAGCCTTTCATGACAATTGTAAACCAATGAGTAGATCCTTCCTTCCTTACCCATATTTGAGGAGTTATGAGAGAGAGTGGTTTCTAGAGGCCAGGAAGACCCTGGTGTGAATTTTTTTCATTGACTCGGAAGCTTAAAAAGTTCCCTCAGCGGCACCTGGTTGGCTGTCAGCGGAGCATGCAACTCCTGATCTCGGGGTTATGAGTTCGAGCCCCACATTAGATGAAGAGATTACTTAAAAATAAAATCTTTCAAAAAGTCCCTCAATCCTATTCATAATTCCTTAAAATGCACCCCAGCACCATACTTGGAAGACCTCAAGTGGGAAAAGGGGAAAAAAAACCAACCTAAACATCCTCTTCCATTAGTACTAATATCATTTTTTTAAAGATTTTATGTATTAATTTGAAAGAGAGAGTGGAAGTGTGAGTGGGAGCAGGGGCAGAGGGAGAGAGAGAGAAAGGAGAGAGACGCAGACTCCTTACTGAGCACAGACCGCCCCCCCAATCATGACCTGAAGTGAAATCGAGAGCCCGAAGCTTGAAGTCTGAGCCCCCCAGGTGTCCCCATTAGTACTAATATCTAAAACAGGTGAAGAAATGCTTGGACCCACAGGAAAGAGAACCATTTACAGTGACAGAAAGCCACGAAGAAGGGCTTTTGGTAGCAAAGTTGAAGTCTCAAGAGGCGTGGATCAGTCCCGGGGAGAATTGTTCCTTAAGATAGAATTTAAGAAAAGAATTGGCTGCACGGGGGAAAATAATGGTGTCTTGGGCATTGGTGTTGATTTTACAGAAAGTAGCATGTGATAGAAATACAACAAGGATGCATGCTCAGGTAGAATAATGTCTCCTGGGTGAGACTAACTGACATCCAGAACCCTCTGTTTTTTACCCGCCGCCCCCACAACATTATCTTGATATTTACAATCGGGATGCCAGTGGCACCATTGACAGTGGGACCGGGGACGCTAGGACCCTCCCCTCAGTTACATCTGTTGCCAAGTGTCAGAAGAGTCTGATTTAAAGGAATGGGACCCGGGACGCTAATACCTGATGAGCTGATAGGACAGCCATTTCCTCCAAGGCCCTGTCACTGAGACCTTCCAGTCACCCATTCATTCATTTAGTCTCTGTTCTGGCCCCTGAGACGGCCTGACTCTTCCAAGTTTCTTTGCATATCTATACTCTGAGGCTCTATGTGTTGATTTTATAGCTGAACTCTCTGAAAATATTAGTCAAACTTTTCCTTTATGCATTTCCAAGAGTATTTGGGGCGATGCAGGGTAGATACAGGAGTTCAGAATTGCTGGCATGTGCCTACTAAACTGTAATGCAATGAGGAAAAATGTGTTTAGTGAAAAGAAACCTCATTGTACTTTTCAAGGTGTCATATTTATTTGATAAAATTGATCATTTTCAAATATCGACACCATCCCTAGTGTTGCACTGATCCTTAAATGACAGAGAAGGACTCTATCTACAGAATGATGATGGGAGTGGACAGGTAGGAGGAGAAATGAAACAAGGTCATTACTTTCTAAAAATAATTTCAAATTTTAGTGTAAATTCAGTTTTGCCTCTTCAACATGAGGACCAGGACTCTTCTTGAGAGAAAAAGGGAGGATGAGACCAAAGCTGAGGCCTTCTGAGCTCTCAGAAAAAGTAGAGGAGGTCAGGTGTCCAGCTCCAGGTGGAATCATCCCAAAGCCCACAGGTGCCAGGTGCAGCTGTGTCCTTGGAGGCTGACCTTTCTTTAAGCCTAATGTTTGCTTATCTCTGGGTTAGACTGTGAGTTTCAAGGCAATAATCCCATCACCATATCCAACAAATTTCTGTCTGATATCTCCCCCACCTCCCCCCACCCCACTCCCTGAACCTGACACAGTTCTACCTTGGTAGAAGCATGGCGGAGGGGAAGAAAAGCTGTTGTTAGTGAATTTCCAAAAGCACACTTTGTTTCAATGGTTTCTAGAACCCAAAGTCCAAAGAAGAGGTTTGAAACCTCTCAGATCTTACATTTTACCCGATTGCTAAGTGACAGCATTGACCACTGCAGTGGGTACCTTGTGGCTTACCCAGGGAGAGAAGGTAATGAGTCAGCTTACCTCAATCCCTTGGGAACCCCTCAAAAGGCCACTGGGCCTCATTCTCTGGAAGAGGCAGAGGGGAGGCCGTGCCAGGACCGAGCACTATTCAAGCTAAATAAGAAAGCAAAGAACTGTCCCGGAATTTTTCTTTTTTTTTTTGGTAGTGGTATTTACCTTTGGTTGTTTGTCCAGGAGGTGGTTTTTCAATTTATAATGATGAGGGATCTTTTGTACCTCTGTCAACAGTTAGATGTTATATGTCAATAGATATGCCACCCCTTCCTAAGGCAAAGCTTTGCAAACTCCCAGTGAGATGGAATTGCGCCAGTGTAAATAGAATGTACCTGGATTTAGGGCTACAAGAACTGCGTGGTTTTAGTGTGTAATCTTGGTCCAGTTACTTAACCCCTTAACTTCCTGAGCTGTTGTGCGAAGTCATAGAAATTATATAATGTGCATTTGGAATCTCACAAAACAGGGTAAATTAGACTCTGCCCTTTACAAGCTGTGTGGCCTTGGGCAAGTCACTTGGCTTATCTGAAACTGAGTTCTGTCAACTCTGAAAACTTGGACTGGGGTCCCCGGGTGGCTCCGTCGGTTAAGCAGCGGCCTTCAGCTCAGGTCATGACCTGAGGATCCTGGGATCAAGACCCACATTGGGCTGCCCGATCGGCGGGGAGCCTGCGTCTCCCTCTCCCTCTGCCCTTCCCCCTGACTGTGCTCACTCTTTACATGCTGGAGGTGCCAGGGAGAGTCTGGACGATAGTTTCAAGTTCAGTGGTGCCAATGTTAGTCAGCCTCTGTGCTAACCCGTACTGCCCACTATCACAGTATTCGAGCCTGATAGGGAATGGTGGCGACTGGAAGGAGGG